TTTACGAACGATAAATCAAATATTTTATATAACTGCGAAAATATATCGATGCTTATTCGCTTTTTCGAGTGTAAATCATTCTCTGGTTTTTGATTTTTGATTTTTAACTTTCACGTATGGACAGACTGATTCGTATGAATTTTAATAGCATATATGAGATTGGTTAATACACGTACAATTTTTTTTTTCTTTTTTTACACATTTATTTCTCATTTTGCCTTGCGGTAATGATATATTTGTTTTTTCAAGTGGAAGATTCAGAAGTCGATCAATTCGTATTTTCTTTAAGATCACTTGAATAGTTTCTAAGAATCTTTATTATTATTATTATTATTATTATTATTATTATTATTTGTATTTTGGTCATATAAATCTTGACAAATGCACACTTCGATAAACAATTCAAGATTTTTTATTTCAATGAAATAGTAAATAATAAATAGAAATAGAATTCAGTAAAATTTCAGTGTGAAGAAAAATTTATATTAGATTCTCAAAATTATTATTAACCAATTATTGATATACCAATATTTTTTACATGGTGCATAAGAATAATTGAAAAATTTTTAAATTGCTAAATACGAAAGATTTTTAATATCAAAGATTTTAATCGTTAAATAATAACTTTAACCTTACTTTCCATCGAACAAGATTAAATTTGTTAAATGAAATTTTGAATACTATTAATTTTAAAAAAAGACACGTAATAAAAATCTGATTAAAAAAATCTTAAGAAACGAACAAAATATTGAATTTCATCAGGACGATTATCGATTATGAAATTCTTCGTGATCCTTCATAATTATTAAAACCACTATTCTATGAAAGATTCCATAATTATTTACATAACTTATATAACCATAAACGCCATATTTCGTGAAAAGAATACCGTCGTCAAGTTTCTTGACGTATCTCACGATCTTAATCGTAAAACGCTTTAATACTCGCAATAATAGAGATGAATTAACAACTAACTACAATATTCAAATTATCATTGTTCGCTAATCGGTTTCTAAGATTGCATGGAGAATTATCGCCTGCGATCGTGCGCTTTTGTAAAGATATTCATCACGTTTCATTTGACAACTGCATTTAAGTGTTGACTATTTTATACATGGAATATATTTTCTTATTAATTTATCGTGTTTATTTATAGTGTAATAATGATTATTATTTTCTTTTTTTTAAACTTTCAATATCTTTTGTGCACGTGTACATGTTTGTTGTAAAAAAATATTTCAATATTTAATCTGATTAAATCCTTTTGGAGGATGCAAATCCTTTTTTAGTTGTTTTTTTAAAATGCTTAGATATTTAATTAACGTATAAAATTTATTTTCAAATATGTAAGATAACATGCGCGTGTTATTTTATTACGCGAATATCTTTGTAACTTGCATTAATTTCTTTGCGATTCTAATAATTTAAATATATTAAGTTGAAAAAGATCGTCGATATTATATCATAATAGTAAAATCGTATTAGAACTCTTTTATTTTATAAAAGAGTTCAAAATTTTTGCAATTAAATTTGTTTATAATATTTAATTATAAAAAAAAAAAATAATATAAAACTAGAAGAGAAAAACATGAATTTGTAAAATTTCTGAATCTGATTATATATTATTTATTTATAGTATCATTCAATTTTATAAACACAAATAAATCAATATAATTATCCTGTTTCGATTACGAAATGGTAGACACGCAATAAAACACAGGCCATCACCATGTTTTTTTGGCCATCGGTGTCAAATATCGCTATTCTTTCTACCTCATTTAACTTTATTGCTTCTTGTTTTCACCAAATAACGAGACCTTAATTCTGAGAACACTTATCTTTTTTAGCATTAGCAAACCCAACACAATTCTCGACGCGTTATTAGAACACTCTACAGTGTCAAATTTCGTAAGAACAACTTCAGCATAAATTCAGTAAAAAATAATATAATTAAAAATTATGGAATTGTATCGATCGAAGAAAATTAATAATTAAAATTAAAATTAATAATTGTTCCGTTTCATCACATCGAAAATAATTCAGCTAAAACCACTTTTCCACGTCTTAACAAAATATAGGACAGGTAAGAAACATTGGATCGTCCGGTAAATTCGAAGCGAGAAACGAAAGCGTTTCGCCATCGCGTGTGGTATTGGTGAATATATTTCAATGTATCGCTTTCACCGTAAAATCACCCGTTCAGAGACGTATGTATCGACCGAGATTTTCACAACGGTCACGCGGCGCACTTTCACGTGCCGTCTACTTCTCCTCTGCTCTCTTTGATATGCGTCATTTCTCTTTCACAAAAACGCCACGTATCGCTGTTTCGAACGCGTACGTTTCAACTTGGGGGCCGATAATGTCGGGCATGATTAGTTTCTTACACGGAACACCCGTTAGGAAAGTGTGCCAAGACGTCCGTGAATTTCACGACGTCTCGCGTGCCTTGTAAAAATTATGATAAATTTCATAGGAAGAAGTACGTATTTATGACGAGCCGAGAAAGGCTTTCTTTACAAGCGTGATCCATACACCTGGGAAATGTATCGCGTTTCATTAAGGCCGGGTGTTTTCCGCTCCGCTCGAATTTCACGTCCAAATTAATTTTTGCGGTCGAAATGTTTTGTTTTGAAATTCGATATCTTTGAGACAAATTTGAATATATTGGTCATCAGGCGACCGATTAATTTCTTAAAAATTAATTTAGAAGAAACATGGTGTAATTAAATTGTTAAATTTTCGAGATAAAACTTTTTCTGAAAAATATGGAAAAATATGTCTTCTTCGTAAAACAGTGTAATTTATTTAAAATGAAAATTGCATTTTTATATTATACAAAATTAGAGATAAATAAATAATAATTTATTATCGGAAGTTTATAATGTAATATTAAATATTTATTTTATATTTTGTATTAATATTTAATTTTTTAGCAATTTTTCCAGAAGAAAATGAGTGAGAAAAAAAAGATTATTCAATTATCTCTTTATCAATTTCAATGTGAAATAAAATTTTGAGTTTGAAATTCTTTTTAAAACTAGAAAAAGATAAATCTTCGAATTTAAGAGCATTTTTCGTTAAATGGGCAGATTTATTCTACAATTTCTAAAATTTATCCTCTAATATCGCTGAAGATGGCAGACAATTATAATAAGACGAATATAATCATTGTTACAAACGCGAAATTTCCATCTGACAATTGTCGATCCTATTATATATCGCATTGACTTTCATCGATATTGATTATCAATCGAAACTAATGAATAAGACATAAATTTGTTTGGTACACTCAATATCGTTTATTGCATCGAATACTCGCATGCAAAGTGAAGTTTATCGAAGCACAACAACAAAGTTTGCCTTGGCTCCCAAAGGAAATTAGAAGAACGTGGTTAGTTTCGTATTGATTTCTTATGAATTACAAATTGGATACATTTTCAGGGATCATGTTGATCAATGTATCGAAGGATTCAACGAATAAACATTATTGTTTTTACTTTTTCTGAGCATCAAATCAATGCCCACTATTTATTATTCATCGATTCAAAAGCGTATCTCGGAATTTATTTGCATGATTAAACATTGTAATTGTATTCATTTTCAACATAGTTCCGTAATTGAAAAAATCTTCTTAAAAATTTTTCAAAATTATTCATTCGATTCTTTTATTTATAGCTCCTTTAATAAAACCTTTCTAAAAAAAAAAAATAATATTCCTATTCTCTATACTATCCGGATATTCATTATAACCCGAATCCCGGTTCGAGAATATAGCTTTTTAACGAATACTCGTTACTCTCCAGATTAAAAAACGGAAAGAATATTCCTACTCTTTAATGCGTAAATGGAAATACATTTTTCTACGATAGAAACAGAACCAAGTATTTTTCTCTAAGTAACTATTGATATTAAATATTCGTGTCTCAAGTATATTCCGCAAAAAAAAAAAAAAGTGGAAGAAATGAACGTAGAATTCCCAGAAAATGTAGTAAACTATATAGCTGTTGCTTGGTAACGTGTTAATTTCGTCGCCGTGTTTCTTGTTCGCCGGCGTGGAATCGTGCTTTCTACTGTTGTACGCGAACAAGCGCGGTATTCGCCAGGGAAGAGGACGATACGACAAGAGAAGGAAAGGAGAGGGAGAGAACGTCGCGTTACTTCGCTCTAGATGAGGAGAATCGTTCTGGAGGAGAATAGATGGGTCGTATGCGAGGGTTCAACTACGAGTAGCGTGCCGCAGGCGATTGATGACTTGTGACCCACTTTTAAAGGCTTGTGACCTAGATGCGAGGGTGCCTGATCTAAGATATCAGGCTTCCCTCCTCCCAACCGACTCTCCCCCCTCGTTTTCTATTCCTTTACTCTTCCCAGTCTCGTCCCCGTCCCATCTAAGTAAATTCACGAGATGAACGATTCTTCGAAGAGTATAACTCCTTTCGTTTTATCCTTCTTTCTCGTGTCTTTTCTCCAAGGACCCGCCTTTCAGAGCTCTCGACTTAATCATCGTGACAAATCATTTTAAATTACAACTTCCGATTGTTTTTTTCCGTTGTGTTTTATAGCTTCTCGCAATGTGAGAATTTTTGTACGGAAATTATGTATAACATGTAATTATTTAAAGATATAATAACCTAAAAAAAAAATATCGAAATTTTTCTTCAATTTTCTTTACTTTTATAAAATATAATTGATAAGTTTTTACTAAGAACACCCGAATTATCGGATGAAATTTGTCGTTGATGCCAGTCGATGCCTTGTTCAAAAAGTTTTCAGCGACTAGCCACGGCGCAACTTACACCTTCCCTCGGCTCAGCTTTCTCCGATACCTTGCTAAATTGTGACAGACTCGTCCACCGGAAGGAACAATGTTATGTGTATATAAGCGGTATTCGCGCATGGTAAAGTTGAACGGTGTACATTGTGAAGAAAGGTGGTAGCAGGGACAGTGGTGGGGATACGTCTGTCGGCGGTACAGATGGTAGGGGTGGGGATAGTGGAAGTGGTGGTGGCGTGAAGAGTGGGGGGAGCTCGACGTCGCAGAGCGATTCGAAAGACGGTGTAGGCGCGTTCGGCGGAGCGAGGTTCAGTGTCGTTTCAGCCGCGGTTCCGTACGGTTGTTCGACTCTTGGTCAACGTGTTTCGAGTACGTAACAATTACCGGTCATTTTCTGGAATACAATCGTTCGTATGCTGCACGTATATAAACAAAAAGTCATCGTTAGCCAGGATCGGCCGAATCAGTGTCAACAAGTTTTCTTTTGTTTGTTTGTGGAATCGATACGAAGGGAAGGTTCACCATGACAATGGGCTAAACCGGTGATTGTTACTCAGTTCTCGAGAACGTTATATTTGGATCAATGGAATAAACGTGTTAATGTGACGTATTTCACACCGAATGGGATATTCGTGAGGTGAAGAATCTTTTGTTGCCTGTAATCGTAATTTGAGAGTACAACGGTGTTGGTAACGTATAAGTGATCGTGGGTTTTGTAAGATGAGCCCGGCCTCCCAAGGCGGCGTGGAGGTGGAGCGATACATCGGTAGTTGTTTGATATCGTCAACCATCAGGGCAGGGCCGCATAAACCGATCGTGGGCAGGAAACAGGAAGCTGTGATTCGCGGGAAAACGCGAGGCTGTTACGGGAATCAAAATTTCGGAACCGAGCAATGCCAGGTGCAATATGGGCCTGGTGGTTGGACGGGCGCTCCTTTGATATCGATGACGTCCAGCCCGCGCAGGTGTAATCAAAGATCATCACCGTCGCTCGGGCAACAGCAGCAACAGCCATCCTCGTCGTCGTCGTCCTCGCAACAATTGCAACCGCAGCAACAGCAGGCTTGCGAGCAGCAAGTATCAGCTCACCTACACAAGAATCCACTTTCTAGATTAGCCATTCACACGCAGGGAGCGCCGTTGATCCTGGCCAATCGGTTTCACAATCGCGGCAAGATACATAACAACGGCATTGCTAATACGATTTGTAATAATACAGGCGCGGTTAACAGTTACGTTCACAACAACGTGAATAGCCTGAGCTGTACGATGAACAACGCGGTCAGGTGTCCACCTTCATCGCGGCCTCAAAGGCCGATAGAACTTGCGAAGAAGCAACAAACGAATCAGAAATCGTCCGACTGCACCACGGCCAAAGACGCAACGGGGACGGGGAACATTGCGAACATCGACTCGCTGAGTATCGCGAGCGATGAAAGTTCGGGATCGAATAATTCCGAGAACAGTTTGCCGCGTATCATTAAACCTCGAAAACGCAGGAAGAAAGACAGAAAACCGGCCAACAATGCGATCGCTTCTGTGGAAGTGGGGAAACACGAGGAGCAGCAGCAACAGCAGCAGCAGCAACAACAACAGTCGAATTCGGCCGCGGTTACCGAACAATCGAACTCCTCCTCCTCGGCCTCTTTGAAATCGTACGTGCCGACTTGTTACGAGCAACGTTACGACGTCGCACCGCCTCACCTTAGAAACCACAGAAGGCCACCCATAGGGAGGGAAAGCAGCGTGGTGTACGGTTGTCGAGTGCAAACAACAGAGATAGACGCGAGGCAAAGGTATCCACATAGGCACGTGGAAGTGAAAGTGTTGGACGACAACAGGAACGTCGTGCCTGCGCAATTGCGCGCCATTCCGCCAAAGGGTTATAGACATAACGGTCATCATCATCATCACCACCACCACCACCACCACCACCACACGGGTGGTAACAACGTTCCGCGCTATCTGCACGAGTATAACGATCTAACGGCGACGAGTTGCGAAGATGGCGTCAACGAGGAATTAGGGCCGTGTCAGTGTCGGTATTGTGATCCTTCGGCACTCATATGGGACGTGGATCAGAACTGTTACTCGCCCTTCTTGACCCCGTCACCGTCGACCGAGTTCTGCCCCGGCCACTTTTCTCAGATGCCGCTATTCTTGTCCCGGCCGAGTCTCGGCTGTCAGGAGCAAAGCGTGGAGAGGCTTTTCAACGGTGATAATCCTCGAGCCCACGAAGAAAAGGACGGTGGTAGCACAGGTGTTGCGTTGAGGCGCAGCTGGAGCGATCCGACCAGTTATTTCAGCGAAGAAATCAGCACGCCTAGCAAAGATGTTGGCGTGATCGGTGATAGGGGACAGGCGGAGAGTGGGAAACGTCGAGCGTCGCTGTGGCGCGGCGAATCTATCGGTATACCTGTGAATAACATTGGACTAACCGGTATGGATGTGAACGGTACCGTGCAATCGCCTAAAGAGCTCGAGGTCTCCACGGAGATCATCACGTCGCCGAACGGGCACAGAGATTTGGAGATCAAATTTTACTCGCCCTCGCCGAATGCACCGATGGCGGAAGAGGAGAAGAGCATGTTCGAGAAAGAAGTGGACGAGGACGAGGAGGACTTCAGCGATATTTGGAGCTATCACGAGTCGAAGCTGCAACAGGATTTCCGCACGTTACTGCAAGCGGAAGAATGAACGGGGATGATTCTCTTTCGATGTGTCCGCTTGAATGCAATTCTTCGACAGATTTGTGTGTGCGCGAGGGAAAGAGGAAGCAGTGGCGTGAATAAATATATACGTCAACGTGAGAGAGTGAGCGAGTGAGAAGGGCGGAGAGAGAGGGAAAATTGTAAGTGCGAAAGAGCGAAAGAAAGAAAAGAAGGTGGCTCTGGAGATTCAATTAGTTCGTCGATAGAGGGAACAAAGTTGAAAACGGACTTGCGTAGACGCGTGAGACAGACAGGGATGGTCGCGTTTACAATTTAACGATCCGCGTTCCAAAAATCATCGGTTCTTTCGCTTCGACGTTTCGACGAGGCGTGTGAACGTGCGCGCGTGTGATTCAATACGACACACTCCCCTTCTTCCATGCCTCTTTCTTCCTCCTCCTCCTCCTTGTCCCTCACAACTTGTCTTCACGATGACGCCCTCGTTGCCTAGCGCACCTCGGTGATTAACAAGTGTAACTGACGGTAACGAGCAAAACTACGTGTCGAACGATTCTTCTTCCTAACGGTGTACGTTGTATACACGTAGTATACGTGACGTGCGTGCACTCGTGAAGCACGCACGAGAGTAGGTCTAAAGGATTGTACCTTGACGTCGGGAATACACGCGGTCTGCTTATCGATGACAACATGCTACTAATAAACGGTGGTTGGCTCGCGTCGTGAAGCGAATCGACTTGAACGATACGGCGAGAGAAAGATCTTCTTTCGAATAATGTTCAGATATTGATTTAAACTGTAGATTGCGTGAACATATCATTCTTTTTTATTCTGTTGAATTTTAGAAAAAGGATTATTGTACGTCTACTCGATTTAATTTACGACCAGGCTATATCTTGCTGCTTTAGTTACCTCTAATCATTTCCCTTTTCTTTTCACGTTCTTTCTTTTATCGTTTACCGATTTTATTTTCGGCGTCGTATACTTTTGACTTTCAGTGTTTGCAATGAGATAACGCTTTTCTTCGCCGCCAACCATCGTGAACGGACAAATAGAGATGTTTAATAAATCGTAATCAAACGAACGCAACGATGAATCATACGCTGAATCTTCAAAGGAACTCGTATTCTATATTTTTTTACCACGATCACGCGATGCCCGACTGTATTTGGTTTTTTTTTCTTTTTTTTTTTTTTAATCTTTTCATCTCGTACGAAATTTCAACGTTATGTTATGTTGCAATATATTTAAAAATATATTGAAATTTTCGTACATCGATGCTATTTTCGAAAAGGTCATCGCTATTACTTGAAACAGATACTTTGATTATTTTTAAAAATATTTCTTTTGGTGATTAAACAAAATATCATTATTAATTATTTTTTGTTAATCATAACGATACGTGTAAATTCATAAACAAGAATATGGTTTGAGATTTCAAAGCTCAATTTATGTTCATATAATTCTATAGTATAAATCATTTCAGAATGATCAGATTGCAATATTGGTTAAATTTTAGTTGTATTGATATGTGTATCTTTCAATTATTTAATATATATATATATATATACATATTATTTTTTTCTCTATGATAACACAATTTTCAATAACTTTTATGTTATTTTAGCAATAATTTTGTGATCTCTCTCTCTCTCTCTCTCTCTTAAAAGTTTTTATATCGATCATGTTAATTGAAAGTGCTTGCCTGTTTCTGAGCTTGTATTTTATCCAGAATAAACAGATTAGAGAGCAACTCTTTATTTCTTTACAATACGTTAAAAGCTAAAAATCTTCTCGATATTAAAAGTTGGATAGATCTTTTCCCAGAATCGAGACAATAAAATACGAAAAATTATTCATTAAATCAAAATAGAAGATTTCGTGATTATTCGTCATTTCATTATTTATTTGAGAATGACTCTGTTTAACCAGCGTTCTTCTACTAAATTGTTTCGAATCGATTGTTATCAAAGCGATCACGTAATCGAAAATATGGGACGTGATCTAATTATCAACGGTGATTCAGAAACGTTGACACTTTTATTTGTTACGGCGAAAGGAAATTTTCAAAAGTAGTTGTAAAACTTTTGAAACACGGTGCAGCTAATCAATTAATCGTGCATTGCATATCGATCGAATCGATTGTATGATGGGCATCGCGTGATGACGCTACGCTCTTCTCGGTTTACAGCCGAACGATTTCTCGACTTTCATCGTTTTCTCATCGTGCAACGCGGAAGAAACGCGAGAAAAAAGTGTGTATACGGCACGCATATATACATATTTAACAGACACACAGAGGCAAACATCGTGTCCTTACCTACCACCACCCACCATCCCTTTTTTTTTTTTTTCTTTCTTCTCTCTCTCGTGTAGACTATATAAGCCTAGATGGTAAGGCGGGTTCAACTTAGAATTATCACCAATTGTCTATATGTGTATAAGAGAAGAAATCGCGTATTAAATCGGTCTGCCTTTTATTTACTACTTTTTAGACCGTTAGGAGATATATTAAGACGATGCGGCAATTTCGAAAGAGCAACGAAAGAGCGTGCCGCGAAGAATTACTTGACGACTAATTAGGCTTAACGCGCGTGCGCGCTTCGTGTCGAGGGTTTAACCAACGAGATGCAAGGTCGTCCTACACGAAGAATCATATTGGCAATATTTCTCTCTTGCTGGCTCTCATCAGTACGTAGCAAGTTTTATTGCTAAGTAGCAACAGATAAATATTGATGTTGACACTTGTTAAAGCAGCCGCTGAACCGCGTATCAAATACGAAACGGGAAAGATAATTGTTGTTGCTGCTGCTGCTTTAATAACATCGTCGTTGATATTTTTCTTCGAGTATAATGTCGTTCGGATGATATCACGTTCGCTCTTGTGTGTAACCAAAAGCGTGTGTTACCCTATCGTATAGCGTTTACCGATAAATTTGTGTCCACGTTTTCTCTCTTATTTTTTCTTTTTTTTTTCCTCTCCATTAAAAATGTATCGTATTTTTTCCTTCTTTCTTTCTTCTTTTTTTTTAGACACACACACACACATATATATATATATATACGTCAAGATAGTGCATCGTTCGTGGCAGCGTTTGTCGAAAAACGATCAGATTGCACTTGTAATCCGTCTTTCCGGAAGAAAGAGATTTTCACTCGAGAACGCATCATCATCGCTACGGATATTCGCATGGAACGAGTATTTCGTAGCTCGATACAGTTCAAAACGATGATAATACCGTTCGAACCGTTTATAGTTTTCACGAACGAAATGTTTAATTATTCGTTATCGAGTTGGCGAGTTTATTTTTCCTCGTTCTTTTTTTTTTTCTTTCTTTCTTTCTTTCTTTTCTTTTTTAATAGGAAATCGAGCGAGCAATGGTATGCTGCGAACTTCGTGTTTTGTATTATTAAATGTTCGTAGAGTGCAACTGAAACGAAAGTTGGTGAAAATGATTTCAACGTGTAGGTTGATGAAAGAATTAATGGTATGCTTTTTAATCAAACGATCAAGCGACCCTTTACTAAGAAACGAAGAGATGAGAAAAGTTATATCCGATATTTCAGTTTCTTCTTCTGTAAAAAAATTCGATCGAGTCGGAATTCAACGAAAAATAAATTTCACTTTAGTTTTATACCAATCATATTGAATTTCGACAAATCCTTTTTTTCTCGGTTTTATTCTGCCTTTTTGTGTTTGTTGATTGTGATCATTTATCGATTGTGCTTTTTGCTATCTGATCTTTGGAAAAAGTGAGAGAGAAAGAGAGAGAGAGAGAGAGAGAGAGATTT